TGTAAATTGTGTGTTAGTATTCCTGCCTTTGGACTATGCTGTTAGAAAAGATTCACAGCGTTTCCCTGATTTGCAGTTGAGATTGCTAAGCACATTAGTATTACAACATGATTATACATTGTTTTTTAAACTCTCTTTCACCATCTCTGTATAATTGCCTCATTATATAAAATGTACTGTTCTCTAAACTGATGAAGCAAATTTGAATTATGTGCCTGTGTGATAAAATTCAATGAAAATATTTTTTAAAAACTGAAGTCCCGAAGTAAAACTTAGATATTTGGACACACTACTCAATCTTCTACAAAAGCCTTAAATCATGAAAATGCTACTTGTCTTTCCAATATATATTTAATCACATTCCCTAGTCAGTTCTCAGTTGAGCTTCTCTTTCCCTGTCAACATTTTCATTTTCAAGGAATAAAGCATAGGCAGTAATAAACATTTTGTTATTTTCATTAAAGAGTGGTTAAATTATTAGTAAAAGTTAGCCTTTCAGCATTAAAAACTGGTCAAAATACTTTGGTAAGATTAGGATCACAAGGTTAAAGAATAGCATGAAATCATACAATTTTTTAGTGAAATCACAATATGGCTAGCTCAAAAGAGAAAGAATATAAACTCGGTATTACTTTTCTTCAAGTGTCTACTGTTGAAGATGTAAGAAAATCAGATTTCCTCTAGGGAGGGAAAAAATGGAATAAGCATAATGCTGACATTTCTATAAATTCAGCCAGTAGACTCAAACATTGTTTGAGAAAGTATTAAAAATTCTAATCATTATTTTTAAAAGCACTCTTAATTAAAGTCCCTGTGGCTGATTTTTCAGATTTGCTATATAAATAGACCATGTTTGTGTTTGCTTTGTAGATACAGTCTATAATTAGCCTCTGAGTTTCATTATTTATAAAAACTGATTTGCTTGAGTATTATAAAGCTAATAAATGAAATTATTTTCTTTTGTTACTTTTAAAATTGTTTAAATTAACCCAATTTTAGATTTAGTGATTCAAGGACATTACCAATCACTTGCAAGCAATTATAATTGATAATTCAGGTACATATTTCCTGTCATGAGGGGTGCCTGGAAGGTTTATACAGTCATATAAACATTATCAATTTATTTTTCAAAATGTGAGAGGTTTGAGGGAGTTTTCTTTTGAATAATTATTGCAGCTCCAATAGCTTAAATTTTAAACACAGCCTAAAACTTACACAGTTTGAAGTAAATAGTCAGCTGGTCACATAACAACCCTACTGCACACTCAAGCATTATTAATAAAAGATTCTTTCAATAAGTCTAGAAATGTTCCAATGGCACCAAGTTGGAAGCCAATTCAAAGTCAAATTAATAGGCCAAAAACAATCCCAAACCATGCAAATAATATGAATTAGTAATGAAGCTAAAATTATTAAGGTGAATTCTCTTTCTGCATTCTTATTAAATCTTTATAGACATTTCCTCTTCTGATTTAATAAGACTATCTGACTCATAAGACAGAGTCACGTTATATCCCACAAATGAAAATATGGATGAGCCCACGCAAAAACACAATTCCCTGGTTTTGTTCTATGGTAATTTAAATTTGCTTTGACAGGGCTGAATCAATACAAATCATCTAACTCCTATAAAAGAAAATCCAACGTAGAAAAACAATCCCAAACGAGAAGACTGCCCAGCTAGTAGTCTTAAAAATTTAAGAACTGATAGGAATTCGATCTGGACCATGTGTATTTGCAGTCTGCAGCAGATCTGAGGTGGCATCCCTCCGGTTTGTTTTTCCTGGCCGTGGGAGAAGTGTCATGCACATACTTGATAACCTGATAATTATGTCCTGAAGGTACTTACATTATATTTTTAATGCTTTCCTATTTTCACTACTGATAGGAGTGGTTAGAAAACTCTCTTTCCACATTTTAAAACTGCCAAATGTAAACGTATTGTATACACAAAGTAGCGATAAAAGGAGTCATTCTGTCCTCTACCCCTGCCTTCACTTTCCCGACTGCAGCCTCCCTCTTCCCACCATCTTCTTCCTCTCCCTTGGAGTGAAGCAGCACCTTGAATTTGCATTAACCATTCCCTTTTTTCCTTTACACTTTTCCCATCAATGTGGATATTTCTGAATAACACATTGTTTCAATTTTCCCAGTTCTGAAACTTAATTAAATGGAATAATACTATAGCATTCTTTTACAACTTGCTTCTTCTGCTCACTATTAAGGTTTTGACATCCATCCATGTGGATGTCAGTAGCTAAAGCCATTCATTTTCCCAACTGTATGGCATACCATGGTATAAATCTATGACAGTTCATCTATTCTATTAGATGGTTATTTATTTCCAGTTTGAGGCGCTTATCAAAGTATGGCTGTGAATAATACTCTTGTGACTTTCGCCACACCTGCACCTACTTCCCTGGGCAAACATCTAGGGAAGGGACCGTGGGGTGGTAGGAAAGGCACAAATTAAACTTTACTGGTGAATGCCAAGGACACAGTACCATTTACACGGCCACCAGCTGTACGTGATTTCTTGCTGCTCCAGAGCCTCACTAACGACGGCATGGTCAGAGTATCAGAGTTGGACCAAACCAGTAGGTGGGAAACTTGGAGTACGGCACTGTCAGATACTTTTAATGGTTAAATGTGTTGCCAAAAAACTCTCCTAGGGGCGCCTGGGTGGCTCAGTTAGTTAAGTGTCTGCCTTCAGCTCAGGTCCTGATCCCAAGGTCCTGGGATCCAGTCCCACGTCAGGGTCCTTGCTCCATGGGGAGCCTGCTTCTCCCTCTCCCTCTGCCCCTCCCCCTACCTGTGGGCTCTCTCTCTCACTCTCTCTCTAACAAATAAATAAAATCTTTAAAAAAAATTCTCCTAGTCTGTGGTTATCTTTTTGTTCTTTTTAGGTGCTATTTGATAAACAGGGTTTTAACTTTAGTGTAGTAAAATTTACACATATTTTCCTTTATGATTTGGTAATTTTTGACTAGACTGGTTTACAAAAAAAAAAATTGTTCCTTCCACTAAGTTAAAAGCTCCAAATTATAGATTTATAGTTTAATAGTATGGCCCTTCACATTTAACCCAGATGGAATTACTTTATGTGCAGACTCATGATGTAGAGATCCAGTTTTAATACTTTTGTCCATGTCCATAACCAGCTGTCCCCAACCTTTCCTGTAACAGCCCATCCTTTTACCACTTATCAACGTCACGTTTGTCATTGAGCCACTCCCCCTTTTCTCTGAGGCACTACAGCATTATTAAGACATGTTTAGCTTTGAATTCCTATGATTTACCTTCATAGAATCCCTTAGGATTACTGTGTCTGAGAACTGATTGATATCTTTTAATTGTTCCAGAAAAAAAAAAAAATCCCTTTTATGCATTCCTTCTGTACCTACGTTTGGAAGCCCAACTGAACATACATTTTCCCACTCTGTACTCCATACCTCCCACATATTTTATATTTTACATTATCTTATTCATATTTCCACATTTTTAACTCTCTGGACCGAATGATGTGTAATTTCTTCAGTTCTACCTTTCGGTGTACTTATTTTTCCTTCAGCTGTGTCTAATCTGCTTTTAAACTCATCCACTGACCATTTTCTTTCTGAAGTATTATGTTGCTGGATTAGGAGTTCTCTGGTTCTTTTTCAAATCTACTGTTCCTGCCTCACATTATTAAGCTTCTTCTTTTTTTCTTTAATTATATCAAATATTGTCATTTTGATTCCATCTGAAAATTTTGATATCTGACAACACTTCACCATTTTTCTTATCTATTGTTCCCATTGATTCTCACCCATAATACTTTGAATTCTTGTGTGAATGTGTGGGTTTGGGGTTTTTTTGTGGGGGGAGGAAGGGGTTGTTTTTAGTATTAGGCATTCATTCCCCAGAGTACTTTACCTGTGGAAATTCTTTGAAGATGGGATTGAAGTTGACCTCCTCCAGAAAGAAGTAGTGTTTCCTAGTTTCCTGTTACCACTGCTCATGACAGAGCAATTAATTTAAATTCACCACTTAGATTTTGTCAGTTTACACACGTAATGCAACTGGAACATTTTTTCCCATTAGTTCGGTGATGTGCTCAATAGGTTTAAAAATGTTAAATAGTGTTAAATATTTTTTTAAAAATTCTGACACAGCATTTTAATAATTTTAGTCAGAAGGGACACTCAGAATATCTAATTTGCCATAACTCCAGAATTAGGAATGTACCACATTTTGAGGCTTTCTTTTCTCTATATTTTTAACTCAAATTTGATGAGCTGTTATAAAAGGGCTGCCTTACATTCATGGTTACTTCTCCAAATACACGATTTCTGGTTTATAAGAGTTCACAGTAATAATACTCCTGGGATCCACTGGGTCCTGGCAAGACTATAGGTAGGTGACCTCATCCATTCTTAGAGGTAGATCTTAGATTGCAGAGAGCCATCAGTACCAAAAAGAGTACAGTGTACCAGGAGCTAATTTTCTACCATTTTTAAATTTCCTCAGTTACTGGGCTCCAACCTTCAAGCTCTGCCACATTAAAAAAAAAAAAATGCAGAAGTAACCCTGAGTGCTGAGGCTTCATCAAGAACATCTGTACATTACCTGAAGGAAGCTGTTCAGATCCACCATTTTCTTGTCTCTTCATTTCATGCTTTTTTGGATTATCTCTGCAACTCCGATTCTCACTACCATCCTTGGTTGGTAGTGTTGAGTTGGTCACTGACAAGTTTTTCCTTTGTCTAACACTTTAGCTTTCTTTTCTCCAAGGCGATGAGCCTTTCACATACATTTTCCCATTTTGGACATTATTCCATTTGTTCTTTTCTTGGATCTATGAGTTATCTCTAGTTAACCCTCATCCTTCTTGAGTAACCTACTTGTTTAAATGTGTAAGTTACATAAGTAGAACTCAGAACAGAATTTCTTGCCCCCCCCCCGCCCCACCCCCAGTTAAAGGTATGCTACTACTCAAACCAAACTGCAGAGAAGGTTACCTGAATTGGTCTTCCATCAGGTGTCAGCACCTCTTCTGAAAGTTCCATCATCTTGAGTGCCATCAGAGCAATGGGCTTAGCATGGCAGAGGCTTTTCCTATGGAGTCCTGCAGCAACACAGTACGCATCGCCTATTGTTTCCACCTGCAGCCATCAGACAAATCAAATGCAAACATATGATAATGAGCCAGAAGAGAAATGATTAGTTATGTGCAATCACAAATGTTGCTGAAAACATGTCAGCAAAACATCAATAAATTAAGCAATTAGACAACTGAGTGTAATCAGAGCAGAATTTGCAGACAGCTAGCCAAATACTGACATCTCACTCTAGGGCTGTTCATCCACGTTATCACCATAGATGATCACTGAAATTGGGAACAACTGGAATAGAGAACAATTATCCTCCACAAAAAAAGAATTGCCAGTATTTTGCCTGAACAATTTCCAAATAATGACCTTTTACAAAGCCACCCTCTTGTTTCCTTCAAACTTCCAATATTGGTAATATTTAAGCGATGAGAAACTGATGTGCAGAAACCCATCCATAATCTTACAAATAGAGAGTTAACAGACACTGTCAGAGTCTTTTCAGACCCTATTCTAATTTTATTGTCAGCATCCATTCCATTCTAAATAGCCACTGCTTTTGTTATAATATTTTAAGTATTTACCCCAGACTAAACTCCTCAAATTTCCAAAGCATATAGCATGGTATAAAAACTGGGCACAACTTATTTTCAGAGGAAAGTTCTCTAATTATCCAAAGTATATGGTGGTATACTTTGGATAATCTGCAAATGATATAACTAATAAGTGGTTAATATCCAAACAGTATAAAGAACTCATACAACTGAACACTAAAGAACACAAATAATCCAATTAAAAATGGGCAGAGGACCAGAAAAACCCTTTTCCAAAGAAAACATACAGATGGTCAACAGACCCATGAAAAGATGCTCAGCATCACAAATATGCAGGGAAATCCAAATCAAAACCACAATGAGATATCACCTTACACTTGTCAGAATGGCCAAAATCAAAAAGACAAGAAGTAACAAGTGTGGGTGGGGATGTGGAGAAAGAGAAACCCTCATACACGGTTGGGGGAAATGTAAATTGGTACAGCCACTGTGGAAAACAGTATGAAGGTTCCTCAAAAAAATTAAAAATAGAACTACCATATGATCCAATAATTCCGCTTTGGGGTATTTACTGAAGGAAAAGGAAAACACTAACTTGAGAAGACATATGCACCTGAAGGTTTATTGCAGCATTATTTATAGTTAGTCAAGACAGAGAAGCAACCTAAGTGTCCATCAATAGATGAACAGATAAGGAATATGTGGGATATATACACCCCAGAATATTACACAGCCATAAAAAAGATGAGATTGTGCCATTTGAGACAACATGGATGGACCTAGAGGGTATTTATGCTAAGTGAAATAAGTCAGAGAAAGAAATACCTTATGATTCCAGTCATAAGTGAAATCTTTAAAAAAATGAATAAACAAACAAAAAGCAGCAGAACTATAAATACAGAGGACTGCTGGTTGCCAGAGGGGAGGAGGGGGGGAGGTGGGTAAAATGGGTGGAGGGGAGTGGGAGATACAAGCCTCCAGTCATGGAATGAGTAAGTCAAGGGAATTAAAACAGCATAAGGAATACAGTCAATATTACTGTAATAGCAATGTAATGGGACAGATGGTAGCTGCATTGTGGTGAGCACAACATAATGTATAAACTTGTCAAATCACTAAGTTGAACACCTGAAACTAATGTAACATTGTGTGTCAACTATACTGAAATTAAAAAGTATATGGTGATAAAATCCTCGATGATTCTAATATTTTAATTAGAGCAAAGTGATGAAATATTTTATTAAATGTCCAAATCCAATACCACCTTTTCTATGAAACCCTCCATGGTCCTTCCATTGGTTTTTAGCAGAAGTAACCATTTCTGCTGTTCTGTTTCAACAGCACTTTTCATACCTCTTTGCTACAGGCTTTCATCATAGGTTATGGTCAAGATGTATCCCCAACTGTGATGTCAGCTCTTTAAGAATGGGACTATTTTTTTCATCTCTATATTCATAATGCTTATCATGGTTTCTAAAATATAGCTATTTAATAAACACCTACCAAATGAATAAATAAATCAACCATGTTTATTATGATTTTAATAAGTCATTCTAATTGTGTGTTCATTTTCACCATTCATTTCATGAGCACCATGTACATGTGTGCAGAAAAAAATTGTCTCTGAATGACTAGAGATGCTTCTATCATAAATATACCAAAGCTTACAAAATATGCTATTAAAGATTTAATAACCATAATTAGATTTCATGCTGAATGCATTCTAACAATATAGTATTAAAAAGATGTACTGAATTAAATTCTGTGGGTGCTAATTTAGGGGATATGGTGAGAACCGTTAAGCTAGGAATGCCAAAAGACCATTTGGTCACCAAAATCTTATAAGGAAATATGCATCGAAAATTGTTCCGATAGCCTCAGACCCATCATTAATTTCAACATTTTCACTTCAAGACCTGTTTTCTTGTGCCAGAAAAATGGAAATAAAATCATAGGGTAAGAAAAGAAAAACAGTGCAATGTGAGTCAGCAAAGTTTTTACTCCAAAGGCTGAAATATACTTCCCCCAAGGTATTCCCACTGAGGAAGATATCCAGTAAATAATAAATGTCTAAAATGTGTCAATCTGGGGCACCTGGGTGGCTCAGTTGGTTAAGCGTCTGCCTTCGGCTCAGGTCATGATCCCAGGGTCCTGGGATCGAGCCCCGCATCGGGCTCCCT